CTGTGATGTTGAAGCTGGCAGAAGTTATACGCATTGTTGTATTGTTGAGATAGAAAATAGATTTAACTGTGCCTTATTTATATTGATTTCGCTATGATACATTACATTCATTATCATCATTCTATAGCTGATTAAGATGCTAAGCTGTGTTGTATCTGGATCCAGATATCGGGATGAGTTGCTCTCAGACCAGAAAATAGTTCCTCTAGATTACTTAGGCTGTGAAACCAGATGGAATTGATCCGCTGCATTTGTATTAGTTGGGCTGGGAATGGGCTGAACATATTGCATCAATTGATTGAAGTTGTTGTGCTGAATGCTGTGAAATATATTAGTTGTTTAAAAAAATATTTTACATATTTATATTGTATATGATCGTTGATTATATAAGCTCACCCTTGCATTTTTTGTTGTGTTGGTATATGTGCTACAATGATCTACGGTGGTACGTGAGCAGAAGGAACAGGTAATGCATCTCCTTCTCAAGCTACAAGGTCTGGCTGAGGGACGATGAAGTTGGCATTTTTGAGAAATTATAGCATATATTATTTTTGTCAATCTAGATTGTAGTAATAGGTCTAGACTATTGGGCTACACTTTTCTAGGAATGTAATTTACATTTTAAATACTTGTATTTTACTTCCTCGTTGAATTAGTTGATGTAAATGTATAAATTTGAAAATTTCTAGTATTGTATAAAAAAATGCCCTTGAGGCTTGTTACTTTGTTAAATTGGATGTTGAAGTTCAATTTTTGAAAATTTATACTCTTTTACATATGTGTATATATATATATATATAGTCTCATAAAGGAAATAAGTGAATTAGAAATAGTAATGCAAATGTCATTGATTCTTTACAAAAAGGGGGTCGTGACACTCTATCTCAGCTAGCTCCTCTGGAGTCAGCTTCTCATCCTCCCCAAGATCTTTGATGCTAGCCACAACCTCAGTGCCAATCACCCGTTCTGAGGTAAACTAGGTTGGTCTTCCATGGTGATCATGATCCAAAAAAGTTTAAACATAATTCACTGCATCTGGTGTCCTAACCAAACCTCTGTATATGTACAAACAATGGGTATGGTGGATCCTACCACTAATAGGATACTCAAAAGGGACATCATACTCTATAGTCATTTCTAAAGAAAATACAACACTAGAGCCATGATGATTACTATTTATAATAAATTTACAATGGCAGAGTCATTGCCACTCCCTAAACACATAATTAAGTCTACTACTTATTATCAATTCAGACAACTTAACAAGTCTCTGAGGGTCTGTCATCCTCGTTCCCTGAATATATTAGTAAGGATGAGCTTTACTCCTCACCACTGAATCAAGATAATAATCAACTTAATAACTTTAACACGCGTATATTTAATATACCATTAAAATTAACTCATACAATAAGCATATTAACCATGTCACTCATGTACATACAATATGCTTTATACACTATCACATTCTTTCAATATTCTTATCATTTTGTCTCCTTATCTCAATCTATCATTTCCCCTAAGATCCCTTAAGGTCTTCCTTATGTATAGATAGTTTCTAGTAAGCCGCAGCAACACAGATACAATGAGTGCTGACCCAACCCCTTTTAACAAAAGTATAGTTAGGAGTATGCGTCAAGAAATGAGTGTGAAGCCTGTAATGCTTCCGTTCTCATTAAGAAATGTGCACCCATTGTGGATAGCATTCACCACCTTCATTTTCTCAAGATTCTCAATCGACTCTATTCTTTCATACTCCTAGTGTATCTCTATAATTATTTATACGTATTCTGATCACTTTTCATGATAATACAACTTCCATCCTTTTTTCCTTTCTCATTATAATACAATTTCACTATTATAGCATGAATAATCATTCCAGTGTCTTTGTTCTTCTTTTTTTTTGTCACAAGCATTTCTACTCTTTCCACATAGATTAACATATAATCTAAGAGAGAACAATAAAAGAATAAAAATCCAAACATATCTGAATTTCCAAACAAAATTTATGATCACAATAACATGTCATCGTATGTATAATTAGTTCATCAACACATTTGCCAGAGGATGGACACCTCTGGACTCAGCCTAAATCGTGTATGTGTGTGTATTATCATCAATACAACATGTATTCCATGTCAATCAAGACAACCATGTATAGCTCAGCTCATTCACTATCGGAGAACATGACTATAGTCTCCATCACTCAAAATAATCATTTCTCATCTTCTATTTCTAAAATAAATGAGAGTACATAACTATACACATGAATAATGGGTATTCAAGATTCCAATGATGGGATAAAGCTCTCATTACCTTAATAAGATGATTCTGTAAAGGGTTTTGTGGAAGAGATTGTCTAAAGATCAGGTTCTTCCTATATATTACAAGGTAGAGCACTTTGAGAAAAGAGAAAATAGAGAAATATAGACTAAGATTAAAGGATTGAGCTCCAAGAAATTTACTCATGGTTGAGAGGAAAGGAAATTCGGACTCGGATTTGGAAGAATTTTGAAGCTGAAGAGGGGTTTCTTTGGGTAAAAGAAGTGAGAGAACAAAGAAAGAAGTGAGTGAGAGGTTTTTTAGATTACAATACAAGTTTCAGAGTCAAAATCTCTTAAATACCCTTCAAAACTCGCGAATTCTCTCTTGAGTGAGCTCATTCTCGCTTAAGCAAGAAAACTAGACAAAAATTGCTACTCTTTTGTTGATATTTTTGCTCAAGCAAGACCATTTTTGGTTGAGCGAAAATATGGTAGAGAGCTACCCATTTATGTCATTAGCTTTTGCTTGAGTGAGAGATTTTTTGCTCAAATGAGAACCACACAGAGGCGCCTTGCAGTTCTAGATGATCTCACTCATGCAAGCTCCCTCCGCGCTCAGTAGATATTCTTGCTCAAGCGAGCCTTTTCTTGCTTAAGCAAGAATGAGGCAGAAAGGACATTCCGCAACTCGAGGTTCTCGCTCAGGCGAACCACATCTCGCCTGATCGAGATTTGCATGCTTTGTGGACTTGACTTCACTTCTTTTCACTCTTTATTCCATCATGCTTTGCCCTTACTATTTAGCTCAAAAGAAGAGGTTCAAATCATATAACTACATATTTAGAGTAATTAACTACTACTTAAGTGGCTAAACTTCAATGGGCATGAAATGTAAATTGCATTGAATTAAAAGAAAATTTAAATACAAATTAGTTAAAAGGGAGTCAAATAAGTGCCAAATTATATACCAAAAACTACTAACAAATGACACTTATCAGAGAGTCACCGTGAATGTATCAAACTAAAGAAAGTTGGAGTTGTGGAGGGATAATGAGGTTGGAACTGAAGGAGAAGAAGTGTTGGAGTGTGAGAAAAATAGACTGTTTGAGAATGGGAAGTGTTGTTTCAAGAGTGGTGAGTGAGTTGAGAAAAGTGGTAGAAGAAAATGCGTTTGATGGGGTAATATAAGAACTATGGATGAAATAATTGTTATAAATTAATTTAATACAGATGAAAATTTGTCTATAATAAATATAATTATTACAGACAGAAAAATCTATCTATAAATTTACAGACAGGTTTACAAACAGGAAGATTCATCTATAAATTTATAGACAGAAAAATTTGTGTGTAAATTAGAGATGGATTTAAAAATCCGTCTATATGAATTACTGACGCTAAAATTGCAAACAAATTTTATCTGTCTATAACGCTAAAATCTATCTGTAATAATTTAAAGTCTGTCAATAAAATCCATCTGTATAATATAAAATTATGGTAAATTCATATTTTTTACTTTGCATCATGTATCCACTGCATAAAAATTAATTATATAGATTGGATTTTAAACTAATTTTTTTCTTTTCAAATAGGTTTTAAATTTTAAATTTGGTTTAAACTAGTTTAAAATCTGGTTTTAGTTGTAACAAGTTTTAAATCCAATGATTTATGTTAAGTTAGTTTTAAATATAGTTTTACCTTAAATTAGTTTCAAATTTAATTTCAAATTTAATTTTTAAGGCAAAACTTTTAAATCTAATGGTTTATGTTAAGTTAGTTTTAAATCTAGTTTTACCTTAAATTAGTTTTAAATTTAATTTTAAATTTAATTTTTAAGGAAAAATTGATTATCAATACATTTGAAAATTTAGTTTTTAATATAAAAATATTTTGTTGTACTGCATTGTTGCATTAAATAGTGCATTTTAAAAAGACTTTAGTAGTCTTTATTAACTATATTATAAAATATATTATTTTTAAAACTTATTTTCATGATGAAAGTATAAATTAAAACTTATAAAAAATATTGATATTAATGAATGATAAAAAATATTATTATAATATTTTAAAATTAAAAACATAAATTTAAATATAAAAATAATAACAGTAATCAATTCAAAATATTTGTTATATTTTAATATAATAATTACATTTTAAAAAATATTATTTTAAATATTTAATGTTAATTATAAGAATTAAGGTTAAGAAAAAATATTAATTATAAAGTGTAATCATGAAAAAATTTTATGAAATATTAGTTGTAAATTTTTATAAAATGTAAAAAATATCAGTAAAATATACGACGAAGGTCTTAGACATGAAGTAATATATTCATGCAATATGGATTTGAATTAAAAAGAGAAAAATATGGTTTTAGAAAGTGAATTGAAAATAGGAAACGAGTTACAATAATAAAAAAAATAATTTAATATAAATCCAATTTTTTTAAAACCAATTTAATATTTGTTATGGATTGGACCTGCACAACTGGATTTTTTACCCAGCCCTATATGTGGCTATTACATGGCATATCCGATAGCATTTATAGACGTACTTCCACCATTGGATGCATTTGAGGAGGGATACTAAATGGGGGTGGCATTAAACCAGGCATGAATGGTAATGGAGTGACAATAGCGTTGAACGACATCTAACCCAACATGAATAAGGGCAGTCCCTATCCCTTATCAACCGTGCTACAACATTAGTCATATACGCTACCCAATACTTCATGTTCTGCTACTTGTTAGATGATGGATATGGATATGTTGGTGCTGGCCCAAGTGCATATTTTGAGATCACTCTAAAACCAACAGCTCTCACACGACCAGGATGCTCTCTTACACCAAGTGCTTGAGACAATATGTCATTTTTAGCTATGAATTCAGACTCAGCCTTTAGAGCGCCCTGTGAAAGGGTTTCCTAAAAATAACATAAAAAATCATAAGTGTAATAATCCAATCTTCAAATAAAGGGACAAATTCACCCTGTATAAGTTAATTAAATTAAAACTTATAAATTCATGGACCATATTTTGAACTCCATCATTAATACCACATTTTTTATTAAGCCTAGCAGCCTTCCATAGGACATGTCGGGGTACAAAGGTCACATTAGACCTAGATGAAGCAATCTACACAAAGATAATTAATAATTGCAAGTGTTAAAAATCTTACCATAGTAAAAGAAATCCCTTATCAAAATCAATTATCCTAAAATAATACATACCAAATCTTGCTCTAACTGAGCATATGCCTTAGCTGACTACCTATATCTATAGGATATTCTTTTTGCCCTAACAACATTAGCCTCACTTTCTTTTTATATTTTGTATTTAAAAAAAAAAGAAAAAATAGTTAGTAAGTGACAATAAATTAATAATTGAAGTAAATAAAAGTTAAATTACCTTAAAATCTTCTGTGCAACTTTGCTTGACAAAATTTGTCCAATAATTAGTGGCAGTGATGAATCTTTGATACTTCTCTAAAGGATAGGAGAGACAATTCCCGTCTTTGTCCAAGATATGTTTTCCATCTGTGTACAAAATTCATGAATATCCCATCTTGCTCATGCAAGTACAATATCTTTGTACATGTCTTGCACTTCAAAAATTTCATCCAAAATCATCAAGACACAAAATTTCACTTTCAACCAATTCATATTACACAATCCTTAAATTCATGCCACTTTGATCATTTTAATATCAATTGAATCCATCATTTATCAGTAGTTTTAATACTCACGAGTCCCTAAATCACTACCAAAATGCTTTCCTAGTCATGAAGGACTTTCACCAGCATGGATAGTCGCCAAATGTATAGTCAGGAGTTGTTTAAGAAATGAGTGTGAGGCTTGTGATACTTTCGCTTTCTGTGATTTATGTGCATCCACTACGAACAGTGTTCACCACCTTCATTTCTTCCAGATTTTTCAAATTGTCTCCAAACTTTATACCCCTAAGTATATTTTTGTAAATATCCATACAAGAACTTAATAGTAACAGTTTACACTGAGTTCTTTTAATCCATACTTATTAGTCACTCTTTCATGCCATATATTTTCTCAGCAATTCTTTACATTTTGATAACAAAAGCAACTCCAAATCCAAATTCACAACTATTCATACCAATAATCTTTCTATAATTTCCGTTCACATGCAATCAATTTCACATAATACAAATCAATACAATATGCCGAAGGTCAAACACCTTCAAACTCATAAGAACTTCTTAAAACTCATTTTACTCATAACCTTTACTATAAAATTCTATTTTAGGTGAATCTTGAACCAAACAATAGGTTTTTTTATACCCAAAGAATCTATTTTTGACATTATAATTTTAAAAAATATTATAGATCTACTATTCAAAACAAGTTATTTTGAGTTTTTCAAGGTGAAACCCATAAATAAGACTTAGGGTTTGGGATTAAGTCCCCTTACCTTGAAATAGGTCTTTCACAATGAAGAGATGAGAGATGACATCTCTAAGACCAAATTCTTCTGGGGATTCTAAAGGAAAGGTATAACCTTTCGATGGAAAATATAGTCTAAAAGATCAAGTTGTTCCTAAGCATTACAAAGTAGAACAACTCTTGAGTAGAAGGAAAATAATGAAATAGAAGTGAGATTGAAAAATTAAACTAGATTAAATTCTAATAACTTACTTAGAATCAAGAGGAAAAGATATCCAAACTCGGATTTGATAGAGGTTTTGGAGTTCATAGGTATTTTAGCTTTGGATGGAAATGAGAAAACAGAGAGAGGGATGAGAATGGTTACTTGCTTTAAAATCTATGCTTTTAAATGCTACAATCACTTAAATACTTCTTTTTCTCAAGGATTCTCGCTTTAGTGAGAAAACCAGACAAAATTTGCTACTCTTTTGCTAATATTTTCATTTGTGCGAGAGATTTTTTGCTTGAGTGAAAACACTCCAGAGAACTACCCATTTTTATCGCCTATTTTTGATTGAGAAAGAATACAAATGAGAAATTCTGATCCATTTTCACTTGAGTTAGAATTTCTCTTGAGGTAAAAACACCTTTCTTTTAGTTACAAAGGGCATATTCAAAACTAAGACCTTCCATGCTTCAGTTGAACCATCTATAGTTGCTTAAACGCTACACGAATACAGGTCTTTAATGAAGATCAAAGCTTGGATGCTAGTCCTTCTACATCCTAATCGACAACCTATTGCGGTGTTTCAAACAATGTACAATGCATATGGTTTAGTACAAAAATAGAAGGTGAAACTTGTGGCAAAGGCTTTCTCCAAAATGAAAAATTTAATTACATAGAAATACTTAGTCCTATTGTCAAACCTGTTAGCATCCGTATTATTCTTTCACTTGTTCTATCTAAGAAGTTGTGATTTCTCTAACTAGAAGTAAACAATGTCTTCTTGAATGGAGAGCTGCAAGAAGAGGTGTTTACGAGTCAGCCATTGAGTTTCACAATTGGAAATCATAAACTAGTAGTACATAGCAATTTATGGTCTAAAAAAGCACCAAGAGCTTGACTTGAAATATGATACTTTTGTGCACTTCGAATTCCATGTTGCTAAATGTGACAATTCATTCTTCATTAGATTATCTCAAACATCATCCCTATATATACTTGTGTTGATAATAACAGGAAGATTTTCATAAAAAAAATATAAACAATTATTGAAGCTCTTCATTCTAAATTTACTCTAAATGATCTTGATCATTTCTAGTATTTTTTGGGCATTCAAGTAGTAAGAAGTCCAAAAAAATTTCATTTCCAGTATATAGCGCTCATACGTGTTAAATATACCATATAAGAACATAGAGCATTTGGCGAACCATGTAATTAAACTTCATTAAATATTGAACTTATCAACGAAACACAACGATCAAGATTACCGAACTACATAAAACAGAACAAAGAAATAATTAAATCAGCAGCTGATGCTAAATAGCATTTGTTTTATTCAGAAATCGAGTAGCTCTTGTAAGTTCTCCAGTTGAAGAGAAATCGTCGTTCTAATACAAATTAGAACTGAAAGTCCAAGAAAGAATCTTGTGTATTTCAACTAACTGTCCTGTAGCACCAGAGAAACCAATTCGAACCCATTCAGGTAGAATAGTCCTCAAATCAATCGCAAATGAAAGGCTACTTGAAGTACCGTTGACGTAGCTATGAGGGTAGCTCACAAGTACACTTAAATTTTTTGTTATAGGTTCATAGTTCACAGTAGCAAAGGCAATAAACCCATTTTCCTCATTTCCAGCTTCCCATTTGGTTGTTGTCACTGAAGCAATGGAATTAACGTCAATGCCTACATGTGAATAGGAAGGATCCCATGGGTTCCCAGGAAAGGAGTCAAATTCTACAGCAACTAATTGATTTTGGTATGCATTTAAAGCAGTGTTAGCGCTGAAGAGTCCAAGGAATCCACCACTTGAATTTTGGGGGATGTTAGAGTTGAATGGAGCAATGAAGAAGGCGATGCCATCACCAAAAAGTCCAGGACCATTTGGTGCAACAACAAAAGAGAAGGAAGTGGTGAAGCTTACAAGCTTGCCAGTTTTGGCATCCCAAAGTTGCACAGGTGCAGCATAAGAGGCTCTACCAGCACTTTTAGGAGCCCCACCTGTAAGCTCTATAGCTCCTCTTACAAGAGAGGTGTCTCCTTGGAAAGTAATGTCATTTTGATTTGTATATGACCCAAAACTAGGGAATGTGAAAGAAACTGACTTCACAGTTTGGGTCAACATAACGAAGGAAATTATGATCGTGAGAGCAGACACAAGGCTTTCAGTTTGAGTCCTTGAGTTGATTGCCATTTTGCCTCTCACTTGTTTAGGTTCCACTAGAACTTAGATGTGATTCGATACCAAGAATTCCATTGGCAATATATAGAGCTTCGGGAAAACAAGGACTCAAAAATAAGGGAAGACGGGTCAAACAAATTGAAGATAGTGACGAAGGAAACTAAATGCAGGCCAGTGGCCAGCTAAGAAACGTAAAAAAGTTTACATTATATGAATAAGCCAAATGACCTTCGACCAAGACTTTAGACAGTGTTTGGACTAAGGAGGGGTGATTAAAACAATGAGACTGACTTTACGTGTAACCAACGTAGTATATGTCTTTATAGGTACAACCGAACAGGTTCGATTTTGAGGGTAGTTTAGAGGTGCGATCACCTAGGATCCAAGCTTAGAAGAGGGCTCAAAGTAAAAATTGTGTCTTACTTTCACTTGAAAAAAATTTCAGCTCTTACAGTTTGCAGTTGAAAAAAATAAAAAAGACTTTTTAATTCCTTACACCTTACTTGGTATAAACATAATCGACTCATTAACTTTTGTAAACTCAAAACTTCATTTCATTCTAAAATTTTACTATTGTTAACATTAAAGCTCATGGAGAATTTTAGTTTTTTTCAAAAAATTAAACAGTTATTAAGTTTGTAAAATCTACATATTGTTATCTAAATGTTTTAATTACTTATAGAATTTTTTTTACTGTCCCGATGACTATATCTCAATTGAAAGAAGTTTTTTAGAGTTAAAGTTAATCAAAACCTACTTAAGATCATCAATGTTACAAGAACCGTTGAATGGTCTCATAATTTTATCAATTGATAAAGAATTTTTAGAAAACATTAATGGTAATGTTATCATTAATAATTTTGCATTTCAAAATGCTCAGAGAACTCATTTTTTATATTTTTTGTGTTTTTGTAGTTAATTATAATATAGGAATTGTTTGAATGAAAAAATATTTTTTTTATAATTTTATTAGAAAAAATTATAGCCACTTGAAAAAATGTATTATTTTAATAAAATTATTAATATATACTTTTATTTTGTTTATTATATTTTATAATTTTTTTAAAGAGCCCTAATTTCCTATTTCGTCTAGGGTTCTAAAAAGGTCAAAAACGCCCTGCAAACCAAAGCATGCATGGTATAAGTAAAAGTTAAAAACTAATTAACACCATAAAGCAAAGAGTATACAGTTAGCATTGTTTAACCATCTTTTGCGTATGATATTCTTTCCCAGTTTGTTATATGGCGAGGTGGGGGGTACAGAGGCCCTGTTTCTGTGATCCGTGTATAACACCGCGCAAGAGAAGGAAAAATAATATAAAAAATAGTAAAATTTATTTTATAAATTAAAAATATTTTATAACAGTAAGTTTTAAAAAACAAAAAGTATAAATTAATTTTAACTTTAAATTTTTTATTTTTTTATTTTTTATTATTTCTTTTATTATAATGACATACATAAGTTTAGAACCATAATTATTTAGATTTGTAATTATGACATTTTAAATTGCGCATTATTAAAAAAAATATATCGTTTACTGGCAAACAAATTTTATCATGGGTTAACTTTTGCTATTATAATTATATTCTTAACAAAAACTATATTGTTTTTACATATTTTAAAGTTATGTGATAATAAATAATTTATTTCTTTAATATTTGATATACTAACAATGTACGAAATTACATTATAAGTATCATCCAGTTCCAGTATCACATTAGAATCGTGAGTAATATATTATTATGGATATATTAAGAATACATTCCTAAGAATATATTAAGTACCATCAGTAAGTTTGTAAAAGATTTGGATCATCAAATTAGTCTTTTGAAAATTTAAAGGTAAAATCTACTAACTCTTTATAATTAAGATAGTTTAGTATATTTTCTCTTACACATAAAATAATCATTACAATTAATCTTATGCTAACAGGCAGTGAAGTATTTTAGTTAAAAAAAATATTAATATTCTTTAATTTTTAAAATATTAAAAAAAATCATAATTATAAAAAGAGTATAGAATATCCTTTCAAATTTACGGTAACCGTAACAAACACTAAATTTAAATGATTATTATATGAGTTTTTTAATTACTAATTTATCACTTAATAATTCATTTAAATATCTAAATAATCATATTTTGATCCTTAAAAATAGAATTAAAGCACTTGAAACGGAAATTTAACTTAGTCATCGGTTAAAACAGTTAAATTTATATGTTAAAAGATCTAAAATTTTATCTAATTAATTTTTAAGAAGGAATAATAATTTAGTAACAAAAACATTTAGAGCTTAAATTGTAATGTCTTTATTTTATTACTTGAATTTTATAATAATTTATAACAAAAAAGGAAAGTAAAATAAATTTCTTATATTTATAGCATGAAAATTTAAAGGAAATTAAAAATTTTTGCTTTTAGTTTTTAACTTATGAAAATACAAATATATTTGAAACGATATATGATAAACATTTATCATTACATTATAACTTGCTAGATAAATTTATACTTGAACAATAAGAATATATTGAATTTCCTTTCAGATACAAGGGTTTTATAATTACATATCATGATTTAAAAAAAAAAATGCATTAGGACTTCATTTACTTAATTACAATATCAAAATATATGAAGTTCTAACGATTAGTGTACTCACACACAAAAGTCCTGAGAATAGAGTTCTAATTATCATAATCAAACTAACCCTCTATCTCTTTTTGGTGTTAAGTCTTTATCATAGAAATCTTCAACGTCGTCAAAGACTTCTATACTAGTTATTTGCTCTATTGTGAAACTGACTAATCTTCCAAGGAGATCATGATCATAAAAGTGTAGGCAAAATTTGTAGCATCAAGTGTCCTAGTTGTCCCTCTATATATGTACAAGCTGAGAGTATGGTGGATCCTACCACTAATAGGATATGAAAAAGGAATATTATACCATATTGTCATCTCTGAGGTAAATACATCTCTAGATCCACTTTCATTATCTATCACAAATTTATAGTGGTAGACTCATTGCCATTTCCTAAATACATAATTTAAACTACTTTCTATAGTACATTCAGTTAATCTAAAGGGTCTCTAGTAAGTGGTTATCCTTGTTCTCTGAAAATTTTAGTAAGGATGATTTTTTCTCTTCACCATTGAATCAAACTAAAATCAATTCAATAATTTCACTTACATATGCATACAACAATTTCCATATATTGTGATCATGTTCTATTTATACTCTTATTATTCTTTGGGCCCTTATTTAAATCAATCATTGCTCCTAGAATCTCTTGAGTTCTTCCACATGTATAAAATAGATATGTGCAACTAATGAAAAATATTCACTACTCTACATTTTTCTCAGATTTCTTAAATCACTTCTCTCTTTCACACTCTTAGTGTATCTCTGTAATTATCCACACATGTTCTTATTACCTTTCATAATAACACAACTTTCATCATAATAAAATTTTATCCATTTTATTTTTTCATCATAAAATCATGTAATGATGTTGAAGGTTGAACACCTCTAAACTCACTCCAAATCATATATTTTCAATACATTATATTTCATATCATTTAGAGAACAACTAAGTATACATCAATACATTCATTACTTTAAACCAACAACCAGAAGTCAAGTACTCAAAGAAATCATTTCTAAAGTAAAAAGAGAGTACATCATTATACAAATGAACATATATATATATATATATATATATATATATATATATATATATTCAAGATTTCATTGAAGGAATAGAGCTCTCCTTACCTCGATGCGAAGTTTTATAAGAAGGTTTGTAGAAGATATTGTCCAAAAGATCAAGTCTTCTTATATATTAAAAGTAGAGCACTTTCTAAGAATAGAGAAAATGGAGAAATAGAAGGGAGATTGGAGGACTAAGCTTTGAGAAACTTACTTGAGTTTGAATGGAACAGATATCCAAGCTCGAATTTGGAAGAGACTCAGGATTCAAGAGAGTTTTCTTTTTTTAAGGAAAGGAAGTGAGAGGACAAAGAGAACAGTAAAACAAGTTTTCTTGACTCTTGTAATGCAAGTTTAGAACACTAAAATATCTTAAATACCCTTTTTGGTTCACAAATTCTCGCTTGAACGAGATACACTCTCATCTGGGTGAGACCCTTCTCGCTTGGACAAGAACGCCAAACAGAAATTTTTACGCAGTTTTCTCATAATCTTGCTTGGGCGAGTTATGGTCCAAAGCTTACACTTTTCCCTGTGCCTTCCCACCTGAGTAAGATGCCTTCTTGCCTAAGTGAGAGGATAGTTGGGACAATATTATTCATTCTCGCTTGAGTAAGACTCATCTCACCTGAGCAAGAATGGTCTGAAACATCTGGTTCAGAAAACTCAATCTCACTTGAACAAGACATATTTTGCTTGAACAAGACCTCCTGCAACTTTCAAAAATTTTAACTTATTCTTCTTTAAAATTAAAATACAATAATAAATAAAATAAAAATGAAACAAATAAAATAAGGATGTTTAGAAGCCTAAATCTTTAGAGAAGACGCACATGGTGACAGGTTAATGTTTGATGTAGGGTGTTAATAATATGTAGTCTTAATTATATTTTTAATTCTTTTATTTTAGATTAAGTGAGATTTTAGTTTCCTAATATATTTTTTAGTCATTTAATTAAAACAGTTAAACTTACTCAGTTAATTAAGATTTTGAGTAAATGAAACAAGAATTTGAGTGTAAGATATAAAAAATGAAAAAAAAAAAAAAACTGAAGTTGCATATTCAGGAAACAAAGTCAAGACAACTTAAAGTGAAAAACAATTCACGTATCTCAAACTAGAAAGGGAAAAAAATATAATTGAGGCTAATGTATTAATATTCTATACTAATTGACTTATTTGTTAATATAGTATATAATACTTATAGTATAATTAAAAATATTTATACTAGTAGTGTAATTTTAGTTATAAAAAAAATGTTGAAGGCTGTTAGCAAATATTCTTTTTAGTATAATTTGACAAGAAAATATTA